AGCAGCGTCCCTAAACCACAGCTACAGGATGTGGGCACAAGCCCTTGTATAATTGCTGGCCAAAAGCCAATGAGCATTCATCTCTGTGCAAATACTTGGGCTTTTTTTGTTGTTAACCTTTGAAAACCACAGGCATTAGTCTCTCTTGCTTCCCCTTGGCACAAGTCATCTTCTTTTCTCCAACTTGGTCTCTTGTGTGTAAAGAATTTCTGAGGAGCTTTTAAGCCTAAATTTAATACTTTTGCCCTCCCCTCTCCTGCCCCACAAAATGCCAGGCAGAGGTAAAGCCGCCTTACAAAATATCTGCTGGCTCTGCCGGCTTCCGCAGCTTTGTTTGGGCTTTTCGATCAGATAGGAAATCAGAGTTCTATGAGTGACCTTAGCCTTTAAGAAAAGACAGGTAATTTCTGGAAATTCCCCTTAAACAACGAAGACCTATTGTTTCCTCACCTCAGATTTAACCCAGCAACTATGATGCCCTGATTTAGATGTTATGCCTTTTTCTGGGAATAGAGATACATGCAGAGAGCAGTGGACCAGGCATAGGAAGTTGGAAGCTTTAGAGTTTAATCCCCAGTACCAAAAACTCACCATCTGCTTTTTGAGCAACTTTTTTTTTTCCAGTTTCAATGCCTTTGCTTCCTGTTCTGTGAAATGAAAGCATTGGGTTGGGTGGTTTCTATGCCTCCTTAGCCCCAGGGCTCTGTGCATCAGCTTTCTTAGTGTTGCTTCAGCAAGGGGACAAGGATAACAGGCCTCAAGGCAAAAGATCCAAAGCACAGCAACTGGCTTCTCTTTTCTGCCTTAGAGAATGGCCAAAGGTCAGGCCTCCAAAGAGGCCCAATTGCCCACTTGAAGGTCAGGCTTAGCATTTCTTGACAGCTCTCCTTCTTGTAAACATTAGAGAATCTACCAACCTTGCCTCTGTACCCAAATATCCCACATCCTGGTGAGAAAACCCAAGCTAACCCCACTCCAGCAAAATAATTTTTTTTTTTTTTTTTACTGAAAGAGATGGCAGATGGATGTTACAGAGTCTAAATCAAAAGAAGGAGAATATTCTAACCATCAGAATGACCCACAATGTATCAGGAGACCTTGAACAATCTGTCCATAAAGATGTTCAAGCAGGGCGCCTGGGTGGCTCAGTCATTAAGCGTCTGCCTTCGGCTCAGGTCATGATCCCAGGGTCCTGGGATTGAGTCCCACATCGGGCTCCTTGCTCGGCAGGAAGCCTGCTTCTCCCTCTCCCACTCCCCCTGCTTGTGTTCCTGCTCTCGCTATCTCTCTCTCTGTCAAATAAATAAATAAAAATCTTAAAAAAAAAAAAAAAGATGTTCAAGCAGTTTTTGAAAAGAGACGTATCGGGGATTTTCTAGTGGGAAAATATCCCTGAATGGGATAAAGATCAGATAAAGAAGATGGCTAACCATGACATTTTTATGATGATATGCCCAATACTTAATGCCCCTTGTAAATAATCCTATCCCCAATCAAACTTACGATGTCCCTCTCAGAAACCTTATTGGTAGTTCAGATGACAGTCTGAATGAAAAGCCCAGGCATATAGTAGGTCCCCTGGTTTGTGGTTTGTATTTCCTGTTGAGCTTATGGACAAGGAACCCAAGTGAGAACACCATGTGTCAAATGGGAGAATGATGGTCAGTAGGTCTATAGTGACCGAGGAAAATTTCCCAGAGGGAACTAAATATAGTTCCCTTGGATGTTGCCTTGCTTTCTGCTTCCAAGTTACCACTCTACAGGCAGGTAGTCAATGTTTTATTTCTGCTTTTGTTTTTGTTTTACTTGATATAATCATTTAACCTCATTTCATTCAGTCCTCACAAGATCTTTATGAAGTGGGCAGTAAAGGTATCACTGTATCCATTTTACAGATGAGGAAATTAAATCTTAGGAAAGTTAAGGTAATTTTCTAGGGTCTCATTTGAATGATTCAATTCTTTCCAAAGAAAAAAAACATTTAATTATCTAATCATCAGCAACAATTCTTTGGAGGATCATAATAAGGTCTCTAGCCTTAAAGTATGATATCAATCACCCATCTATCAATCTTGTTCACAATATCCACTTAATCTAGTCCCTAACTGAACACATCAAGTGATGGCAGGCTCCCTCTTCTAAGGAGCAACCCATTCCATCTTTGACAATTCCTACCTAAAAGAAGTTCTTTCTTATCTTAAACTGCCTTCCAGATTCCTGAATCCTTTCATGGAATGGTAATAACTGGTAATAACCCAGAAATAACCTGCTTCCTAGGTCCCACGTATCAGTTTATGGGATATTCCACTAGACAGTCTTTGTGAAATGTGAAAAGCATTCTCCTGTCATCACTAAGTTCACTCTTCTCCATGTTAAACAGTTTTGGTGTTATTAAACGCTTATCCTATTTGTTAGAGGTTAGACCTCAGGGCTAAGAGACATCTCCCTCCCCTCACCTTTTGCAGAGTTGGTGCTGTACTATGTCCTTTAGAAAGTCACTTCGGAACAGTCTGTCCCAGGTTACGAGGAGGACAAATGTGCAGAAAGAAGTCTATTGTCAGGCTGATCCTTAAATGGTAGCTCAAAAGAATGTGCTGGACATTTCAGATGCTTCTGCCAACAAATGCCACTATCTTGAGGCAAATAGGGATTTTCGGGCAGCAGTGTTACAATAATTTGCCAATTATGCCTGCTTCAGAACCACTGCCAAAACAATCCAACGACTTTTCATTCCACTACTGTTGACAGGACAGCTAAGGATTTCAACATTTCCTTTTACAGTCTGAATAGAAGTTCTCTGCCTTGGGGACTATAACAATATTTGCCATCATGGGGCTGGGGCTTGGGGGGAAGTGGGTGCTGGGAAGGTTTTTGGAAAGAGGGAGAGAAAGAGAAATGCTAATGGAAGTAAACAAAGACAAAGACTAAATAAAATGAGGGTTATTCAAAGTGTGGGTTTTGAATGCCTGCATTAAATTGATATTTGTTAATGAATCAGAGAACAAATCTTTGAAATTGAGGAAATAAATTTTTAGAAAAAAAGACTTTAAAAATACACTCTGCACAACCCCCACCCCCCCAACAACAACAACAAAAAAATAGCTGGAAGTTTTAACTTGAATACCAACCAAGGTGTCTTAACTTTGGGTCTTGAGACAGACTTGAAAATCTGATTATAATAATATTTATGGTGTTCATCATTCAAAGCTTCTTTCCAAAATAGATTAAAAAAATAAAATTGGGGGCGCCTGGGTGGCTCAGTTGGTTAAGCGACTGCCTTCAGCTCAGGTCATGATCCTGGAGTCCTGGGATCGAGTCCCGCATCGGGCTCCCTGCTCGGCGGGGAGTCTGCTTCTCCCTCTGACCCTCCTCCCTCTCATGCTCTCTCTCATTCTCTCTGTCTCAAATAAATAAATAAACTCTTTAAAAATAAAATAAAATAAAATAAAATTGAAAAGGCAAAACTTGAAGAGATGTGATAATCTCCTGAGGTGTTCATCAGGGAAAGAAAAAGAGAAAATATGAGAGAAAAGAGCAAAGGAAACAGAATAAGGTAGGTCAGTATTTTTGAAAACATGCTCCTCAAAACTTTCTGGGACCCATCGCCATTCCACAGGGGGCAGCTCTGAGACCCCCCAAAAAAGAGGAATCCAGAGGCACTCCCATGTCCACTTCAATCTTAGTGGCCTCACTTATCTGTTTTACATTTTAGGTTTTACATTTTAGGTGTCCAAAACAGATTTCAATAGAAGGAAAGGGTCTGCTATTGGAAAATAAAATGAAATAAATACTTGAACAAAAAACTGCAGAAGAAAATGAGCTATTAAAAGTTCTTGAGCAGGGAGTGATAGGGTCAAATTGTGCTTTAGAAATCTGGCAACCAAATGCAGGATGGATTAGAATAGAGTCAAGCTTGGATCAAAGATTCCAAATAAAAGGCTATGGCAAAATTATCCAGGAGAACAGAATTAGAGACTTGATCTAATAATATATACCTGTGAAAATGGAAAGGCAAGGAGTTCATGAACAATTTTTAAAGAAGAATGAACTTTAAGTTTGACATCTGGGCATTGGGGTACAATGCTAAGCCACACATAAATTTGGTACTGCTATGCTCTGACAGTTTGTGTCCCCCCAAAATTCATATGCTGAAAGCTTAAAGTCCAATGTGATGGTATTAAGAAGTGGGGCCTCTGGGAGGTGATTCGGTCATGAAAGCAGAGCCCTCATGAATAAGATTAATGCCCTTATAAAAGAAACACAAGAGAACCCTCTTGCCCCTTTACCATGTGAGGATATGACAAGAAGTCTGTAACCCGGGAAGAGGGCCCTCACCTGACTATGCTGGCACTCTGAACTCTGAATTCCAGCCTCCAGAACTGTGAGAAATACATTTCTGTTGTTTATAAGCCACCCAGTCTGTGGTATTTTGTAATAACAGCCTAAACAGACTAAGAAAGATACCATATAAAATTATTTGGCAAGGAATTTAGATATATCAAAACTGATGGATTTCAGGGACGATGACTGGAACCATAAAAATGCCACAGAGAATTCCAGGATTTTGAAGATGCTGAGTGTGAGTGGCCATTGGAACACGGATATATATGAACAGCAGAAAGAGATACAAAACTGAATCTTGAAGAAATATCAGGGATAGAAATATGGATTTGGAAGTCATTCTCATAAAAAGAGTAGCTAAAATAATACAGTCAGACCCCAATCAGAATCAAAGGGCTCAAGATCAAGATCCAGAAAATGCCTACATTTAGAAGACAGAAGAATAAGAACCCAGAGAGTCTCCCCTCAGTTTATGATCAGGTATTCATTGACAACATTATTTGAGGAGCTTAAGAGAATGTATTTTCTGGTTTTAGGAAATTTGATTATTCATATATGAGGTCTGAGGTGTGCATCTATCAGTTTAATCAAGCTTTTAGATTTCCTAAGACACTAAGTATTCAACATCATGTAGCAGTATTTAAAAGTAATTAATTTTTTCAGTCCAAAAATATGGTGGTCTGAAATAGAATCTTCAATAAAGATATATTGATGGATGACATACTTATACACCAAAAAGAGTCTCAAAAACCAATACTCCCACGGGCAAGGGAATAGCCAAGTTTGTTGCGGTTTCCAATGAATGACATCAGCCCCATGTAGGTTTCAATCAAAATGGGTTCAGTTAACACCATCAGTGCCTTTCCTCTTCCAGATCCAGTGGAATTCTTGTGGGCATTCTGGATAGCTGGAACAAGCTTAGACGTGAACCCAGACAACTGAAGAGGAAAAGAAGGCACAGAGTTAGTAAATGTAGAGTAGGTCCAGAGACACTTCCTCCCCAGCCAGTCCTCACCAAAGCTGACCACTCTCCTGGGGCTGCAACTATCCTTACTTATATAGAAATCATTTCTCAGAATTGTCAACATGGCTTCTGTTAGCCTTTTAATAAATTAATCAGTCAATAAATTATGTACATAATGAACTTATCTGCCTCATCCTGTTTATTTTTCATCCTTCATAATTTGTACATTAAGAAGTCACTTCAGGGGCACCTGGGTGGCTCAGATGGTTAAGCGTCTGCCTTCGGCTCAGGTCATGATCCCAGAGTCCTGGGATCGAGTCCCACATCGGGCTCCTGGCTCAGCGGGGAGCCTGCTTCTCCTTCTCCCTCTCTCCCTGCTCATGCTCTCTCTCTCTGTGTGTCTCAAATGAATAAATAAAATCTTAAAGAAAAAAAAAAAGTCCCTTCAATAAATATTTGCTGATGGCCTTTTATGAATCAGATACCTGTTGGGTGCTGCTGAAGATTTAATGACAAGTAAGATGTAGTCTCTGTCTCCAAAGATGTGATACTATAATAATCTAAGAAATGAAAATTTTTTTTTAAGATTGAGAGATCTTTTTTTTTTTTTTTTTTAAGATTGAGAGAGACAGAAAGATACCGTAGAAGCAGAGGGAGAGGGATAAGCAAACCTTGGTGCTAAGCATGGAGCCCGAGGAGGGGCTCAATGCCATGACCCCAAGATCATGACCTGAGCCAAAATCAAGAGTCAGATGCTCAACTGACTGAGACACCCAGGTGCACCTTAGAAATGAACTTGTAATGATTATACAAAGATTGTGAAAATAAACAGCAGAAGAGGCACAAGATGCTAAGAGAACACAAAAGAGGGAGAAATCATATGTAGTGAGAGGATCAGAAATGACCTCAAAAGGAAACTCTTGAGACAATCCTTAAAGGGCTCATAGGGTTTCATTAGGTGAAATGGGGTTAGAAAGGGCCTAGTCAACAGCTGTTGTTTTTTTCCAACCCAGCATCCTTTCCACCATTTGAGATTCTTCTTCCAACAAGAGTACCTTCTTTGTTCTTTGGAGAACCACCCTATCCCATTTAGCCCACATAGTTTAAGTGGCGCTGACTTTACCATATGGCTCAGGCCTAACCAATCAGAGGAGTCCATTTCTCTGGTCACAGAGATTGGTTCAGGATGGGTACATGACCAATGTTGTTATAAAACTGATAGAATACAAGCCTCCCTGGAGGTATTCATGGTCATTTTGCCACACATAGTGAGAACCTGACTGAGAAATAAGCCCACAAAAGTGAAAGAACTAAGATGTAGAGAAAGATGAATTCTTGACAAAGTCATGCAGATTACTAGATCAGCCAACCCTGAACTTTTAAGTTAAGTGAGTAAAAGAAAAATTCCTTCTTTTGGTCAAGCCAAGTTGAATTGGATTAAGAGGAGGGTAGTTCAGGGAGCATTCTAAACAGAGAAACAAGCAAGGAAATGAAGTAGGAAAGATATGAGCTCATATCCTTGTATTTCCAAAAAGCTCTTTTATTTCCATGATTTTTTTCTAATATAGATGCATTAGGTAGGTCAAAGAAGGTATCACCACTTCCATGTTAGAAAACCAAGGCTCATAGAAGGTAAATGACTTATCCACAGTAACTCCACTTTCTGCATCACAGTAAAAAAGAACACTGGGAATAAAATCTTATTCACAGTGAGATCCAAATCTGTTTCCTAGGCAACTGGCCACTAATCTAAATTAAGATTCTTATTAGAGCATATTCCAATATCAATTCAAATTATTAAGCATACTTATATAAAGTGATCGTTGTTCTTCCCATTTGTCCATGAGGATACCAATCTCTGCTTTAAGAGATTAACACAAGAGTGATGATTCACTGAAGACAGAGAAGCCTGTAGTCTTTCCCCATAATACAATTTTCCATATAGATCTTATGCTGGATTCTTAATTTTATATTGCTCTTGAGCAAACCACTTCTTTATTCTAGTCTTAGTTTCCTTATTAGTAAAAGAAAAACTTTTAAAATTTAGAATGTATCTACTATTGCTAGTTAACCTAACCCATAAGCAAAAAAAAAAAAAAAAAAGCCATGCAAATAAAACCTCTATAATTTTCTAACTGTGTGACATTATAAATTCATTTTCCCTTTTTGAGCCTCAGTTTGTGCTTTTGAAAAGAAGCACTGAAATCTATGGATTTTAGATAATATCAGAAATAAAAAAAAATAGTGACTATGATGATAAAACAACATAATTTTCTGGAGTTCCTTAATATTTCTAGGTTTTCAAAATAAAAAGATATATTTGCTCTACTTTTTTTTTTTAAGATTTATTATTTGAGAGAATGTAAATGTGAACAGGGGGAGGAGCAGAAGGAGAGGGAGCAGGAGAGAGAGAGCGAATCTCAAGTAGACTTCCTGTTGAGTGTGGAGCCCAAAGAGGGACTCAATCCCATGACCCAGAGACCATGACCTGAGCCAAAATTAAGAGTTGGACACTTAACCAACTGAGCCACCCAGGTGCCCCTGTCTCTCTACTTTTCTTTAAAGTTATATTTAAAGTAATTAAGTAATACCAAAACATTAATTTTAAAAAATAGACTCACTTTCACTGAGGCTAATGAATGTAATAACACAGAAGTAGGGTTTTGCTTGTTCTCCATGAGCTTCAGTCTACAGCAGCAAAGACAGACAGAAGGTACTTTTTATTACTATTTGCAGTTCCAGCATCCTCTTTGAGATCTTAAAGAGAATCTAAATATTGCTGTTACTGAAAGATACATACTATAATCATACAGCCTGAGGATTCTAAAAGGAAGGACATCCTTCCTTTCAGCAAACTCCACCAGTGCTTTAGTTGATTGAGTAAGAAAAGCAGAAAGAGTGATCTTTCTTCAACTTCCAAAAGAGGAAAGCAGAAAGGAAAGAATAAGTTAATAACATGGATATTTAATCACTATGTTTTAAAATCATAGAATCTCAAGGTCAGAAGTGATCTTGAGCTTATCAATTCACCACTCATCTACTGTTATGCCTTGCTACATCTTTACCAAGAAGCCACATCCCTCTCCATGGACATATCCAGTGACATGGAACTCACTGCTATCTAACCATGTCTACTTCATCACTGTATAGTGGGAAAATGCTTGGCATTAGATGTACAGAGCCAGGTATGTTTCCTTGCCCTATCAGTAACTGATGGTTAGACCCTGGATAAAACCATATAATCTCACTGAGCCTTAGTTTATACATCTGAAAATGGGCAAATAATAATGATGATGATAATAATACTAAATGACAACCTCATCAGATTGCTGTATGAATTTAAGTGAATTATTCAAAAATATTTTATAAAGCATATTATTTATAGGTACAAATATTTTCATTATTTATAGGCAGAGAAGACTTTAACTTCCTTAGTCCCATTTCCTTCAATTCCATACTTGGAATGCCAATTGACTTAATATGAATCATAGACTCCATAAAACAATTTTTTAACTCTGATATGAGCTTTTTTAAAGTAACAGAGTTCTCTGGATGCCAAAGGATACATTAAATTCTACTCAGAAACCATGATTTCAAAAAACATGGCTTGAGCATCAAAGTATCTCCCCCAAGATATTTATCAGTTATAAAGAGAAAAATACTAACTTTGCAGAGGAGAAATCCAGCATACACCATTTTAAACAAGTGACTAAGATTAACACCACTAGTAATAAGACATACAGGCATCATAAGCCTACAATGAAGACACAGCATCATTTCTATAGTATCTGCACCAAAAAAGCAGACCACAATTTAATCATGAGAAAACATCAGGCAAACCCAAATTGAGAGACATTCTACAAAACAACTGACCAGTATTCATCAGACATGCCAAGATCATGAAAACAAAGGAAGAATGAAGGATGTGATGAGTCCTGGGTGTTATAAACAACTAATGAATCATTGAACATTATATCAAAGCTAATCATGTACTATATGTTGGCTAATTGAATTTAAATTAAAAAAAGGAAGAATGAGAAACTGTCACATTTTGAAGGAGAATAAAGAGACAGAACAACTCAATATAATATGTTATGATCGACTGGATCCTGGGAAGATAGAGGACATTAGGAAAAACAAAACAAAAACCCAGTGAAATCTGAATAAGCCCTGTAGTTTACTTAATATTATTGTACCAATGTTTAGTTCCCAGGTTTTGATAACTATATTATATTATGTAAGTTTTTAGAAGAATTTGAATGACAGGTACATGGAAACTTTACCATCTTTGCAATTTTCCTGTAAGTCTAAAATTATTTCAAAATAAAAAGCCTTTAAACTCTGGATTGAAAGAAAATCCTAAATATTAGTTCCCCAGGATTATTGAAGTTTTCAATTGATCAAAGAGAAAAGTTCCAAAGAAAACCAGGTGCAAGATGACACTCTTACTTTGTTTTTCTTGTCTCTATATTTTTTTTAATATGAACCTACATCAAAATTATACCAGCATTACTGAATTTTCATTAAGACTGTGTTTTCTGACATGAATTACACCAAGACAATTGGGTTTACTGAAGAATTTTCCATCTGAAAGAAATAATTTATAAGTTTTCCCTTTATTTCCTGAAAAATTTCCATTGAATGAATTCATGTCTATACAATTAAATTAAGTCAAAAAGTTGATTTTTTTTCTCCATTCCAAATTTAGTAATTGTTAAGTTTTCTTCTGAGGATATTACTTTTAGTATTATTACTTTCTTGAGAGTGATTTTAGTTGTTAATTTAATTTTGTGTTTAACTCTACTAAGTACACTAACTTTCCTCAGGCCAAGTTTTGCTTCCTAATGTCAAAAATTACATGCAAGTCCTGTTTGTTTATTAGCTACGTAAGGTTACCAGCTGTCATTTTAGTTTTAGCTGCTTTTTCTATGTATATATGAATTATTTCTATCAGTATTAATACTGTAAACTAAC